AAAATCTAGACTGCTTTCAATATTGATTCCAGCCAATCAAATTCATGAATTTGGTAGTTCCCAGTCCTTGTGAGACACAGCCATATAACAAAACACCATACAGACAAGTGTTGAGAATAAAAAAAATTATTAACAAGGGGATTATTTGTTGACCCACTGCTCAGAGGTGGTGATACCTCGCCAACTGTAATTGAAATATTGCTCAGTGTAAACGAGATATTGTTAGGCAGCAGTGATATCTCGTTGGATGTCAACGATATATCAGGGAGGCGAAAAGGATACATTGTTGAACTGCTAGCAGCGATATATCACTGAGCTTGTAAACATATTATATCGCTGAACTCAAAGGATATATTGCTCAGAGAAAACGACAATTCACTAGGAGCTGAACAACATATCTCAGCTGTTAAAACAATAGCCCTGCATTATAATTATTGCAAATATATCATTCCAACTGAAATGTCGCTCAAATATCACCACAGTGACTATATCAGGATAATCGTGATATTAGGCAATTTTCTCATTTACATTACTTTTGTATAATACTGTATCTAACCAGGTCAGTTGAAATAAGCACTCTGCATTTAAACTGCTTGAGTCTCTCCATGGCTTTCAATCGCTGGATCTGAGTTTGACTGCCTGAAAGTTGAAGAAAATCAATAACTATTAGTAATTATTTGTGTATAACATCAAAGACTTCAAGATACCCATAGCTGCTAGGGTTTCACCTACACTACGCCGAGTGCAAGACCCTGCCCAACTTCACAAGATGTCCTCTGCAAAGTTTGCTGGCACCAGCAAACCTCTTTCACAGTCAAAACAGTATCTATTACTTAAGAACTTCACTTGGATTTGCGTCGACCCATAAGTACATAGACACCTATGAAAAAAAATATACAAACCTGCAATGAAGACAGAAGGCCATCCCTTCAGACGAAGAGTATCACAGAGGCTCTGAGCTCTAAAAGGCCAGTTCAAGAAGCAAAAGAATACATCATTAATAATGATTGTCATTGATGAGTATCCTATAGAACCATAACCAGTTATTAAGTTTTATCAGTCAGTCTAAACCTTCATAGGCAGGGAAAAAAATCATTTTATGCTGCTTGTTTCTCCCTTTGGTCCCTAATGGTGAATAGCATCTACTTTCTCCTTACATCACCTCTCAAACAAACAGTAAGGTTATGAGAATAAAGGAAATGATAGCCAACTAAAGAAGATCTTGACTGTTAGACAAAATCTCCTTGTCAGCACCTTAGGTAAACTATTGAGAATATGGATACTGATGTTAGGGTCTAAAGGACTTCAGGACATACCTTATCTGATAGTTTGAGAACACAAGACATTGCTTAAATGGTAGGCTTGAAAGTAGCTTTAAAAGCTTACAGATCTATAGAGATGAACAATGCACATAAAAAATTTAGTATGATCAGAAAAAAAATTTCAATAATTATACTAAATCAATGAATGCTTTCAATCAACTCTCAGTTTTTAAGGAGCTGATTTCGAAGTGTAGAGTGAAATTCGTTAATTAGCGTAAAAAAGCAACATACCTTTTCTTGAAATATTTTGTGTGGCAAGGGATGAAAAGGCACCATCTGATAAAACTGCTGGATTCCTAAAGATAAAATTAATTTAATTGCAAACTGAATATAAATTATTTTTCTCCCCTTTACCTCTTAAGGTCTGATTCTTAATTCTCCCCTCTGACACCCACTCATTTCCTTAATATAAATTGGTTATAAGAATTGGTTGTGATATCAAGATAACAACTTTTACCTGATAAGTTTGAGTATTCTGAATCTCATTACCTGTTTGCTGGATAATGTATGGATATCATTGGGAGAGGTTATAAGTCAATCATTTCTTTGCTATGACTGACTACAGAAAGTGTACACCTCAAGGTTCCCTTTAAAAATTAGTAGGCCCTGTCATGATCAACAAACCTCGCAATGGAAAGCATTACCTTCTAAGAAAAAATTATCATGCCGTAACATTAAAATAACACAAAAATAACCCTGAGTAAGCTTCATGTGTTGTACAATACTAAACCTTCCACTCATATCAATAACTTAGCAAGCCAAAAGGTGATGAAAAGAACAATTTAAGACCAAACTCTCAGAGATAAAATTGAAGGGTTCATGCATGGCTGGTGAGTGCAGCACGAGCAAAAGTGCTTACCCTGGAGAGTGGGGTCACTGGCATTAAGTCGCACAAATGTTGGTTCCCTCATGTATCTTGTCAAGTGTTTGGCAAGGTATTCTGGGTATGTTGCAGAGAATGCCATCATTTGTTTATTTGATGGCAATGATGAAAAAATCCAGCTGCAAGAAGATAACACCATATCTTTGTATCAACATACCCTCTCCCAGACATTATCATAAAGCTTTAAAACTGGCAAAGTCTACACTGGAGCCCAGTGGTTCCCCCAGCTGGAGTTTATCCCAGTTAATCCTTAGCATGAAGCAACTGAGAGTATTACGACTACCCCCCCCATCAGGGCTGGACACTAACGGTAGCCAATGAGCCATGGATTAGTAGGAATTCAGTTTTGGCTCGTGGATTTTGATTTCCACCAGCCAGTTTGGCTAGTAAACAAACTGAAATTGTTGAAACATCCAAGTTGTCTTGAGGCACTTGGCTAGTAAGTTGAAAGGCTAGTGTCGAGCCCTACCCTACATGGAATACTAACCCATTGCAAGGTTACCCCCAAGCACTTCATCAGGTGTCCTTATCAGACAATATGAGAGAACAGTTAAACCTGGATTATCCAGACCTCCATTATCCAGATTTCTTGATTATCCAGACTTTTTCTCTGGTCCCAATGTTTTCATGAATAATTATTGGTCGTGATCAAGATCTGTAGCCATATTCTTTTTAAAACTCCAATGTTGAAAAGTGAAGTAAAAGCAATGTTCTTCTTTAAGACAAACTGACTAACTTCAACATTAATTTTTAGACCAATGTAAAAACATTTTTCATTAAGTTTCATCGTTAATA